GTTTATGTTACGATATTATGATTGCTAAATGACATTAGAAGTAAGGTCAGGCACAGGGCCAACTGCTACACGTGTCAGACTAGTCATCTGTGATCTACTATACAACTTATCCCCACTGGGGTAAGCAGAGCAAATGTACAATGTAACACTCACTTTTCACTATTTATGTTATTAGTCCCATGTAATAGGGGGTGAGCGTATTGTCATATACCGGGTACAATTAAAACTTTGTGCTACTACTGAGACTTTTTTAAACTCATTAATGCTTTGCCCTATCCGGATATCGAACTTGAGACCTCTTGCCTAGCAGTCGCACTTGCGACTTCGCCGATGAGCCTAACTAGCGTGGAGCCTAACAAAAAAGTGCTAAAAAATATAGATTTCTCAAAAAATAATAGTCGTTATGTTATAACTGCAAAACTCTAGATCCCTCAAAATCTCAAAATGCATTTATTTTTAAACTATAATTTAGTACTTTTGAAACGTCAACAAATACAAAATAAATAATAGTCTGTCAGTCTGTCCGTCAGTGAAGCTAGGTGCTCGTTCCAAAATGTAGATTCGAATGAGGAAGAACGAGCGAGAAACTCCATTCGTTACCCTTCTCAGTACCTATGAATACACCTGGCTAAGTAGCTACCCCTTTAAGGGCAGACCACAAATAAAAAAAAGCATATACATATACGGTCGAATTGAGAACCTCCTCCTTTTTTGAAGTCGGTTAACAAAAAAGAAACTTACTTGATGAATAGTAATAATCCCAGCTTGTTCCGGCATTTTGAAATATAAATTAAACAATATAACTAACACTATAATATCACAGATTGAATAAATAAATAAATTAAAATAAACTAAATTTTAAATTAACACATCACTGTATCAATCGTCTTCTATGTCTAAATCAAATAAATTAGCAATACCACTTAACAAACGCCTTAAAACTGAATCAACTATTGTATTTAAAAAAATACAATAATAAAATAATATCCACCAGAATTCGATTAAAATTCGAATATCTGTCGCGGACATCGGCACGTGCGAACGACGCGGCGGTCACGCTACGAATGGCGTTTGCAACGTCCGATATTTTGTATTTGGAATCGGCGCAGGAGTTGATTGGTAAGGCTGAGGGCACACTGAAGTTATGATAGGTTTTCTTTAATAGATGAGTTTCTACATACATAATATCACGGCTATCTCACAAGGGTTTTTTTTTTATTTGAGGGGGAATATCATCCAATGACTTTTCCCACCCGGGTGAAGCGCGAGGAAGGTAGGTGTCAGGGTAAGTAGAGACTATGTAACGCCAATTGCTACGATTCTTACATACCTACCCCTTTCGCTTCATCAACAGTCATTAGTCTTTTCATGCATGCTCGTCGGTTAAGGGTACTTTTAATTTGGCCCTTCTTTAATATATCGCCAATTGGTCGACATATGTCCGTCTAGGGCGCCCTCTACTGACGGCTAGCTCATTTATATCATTCACATAATAGATGAGTTTGTTTTAAAACTAAAAGAAATCTTTATCATCATCAACAACAGCTCGACACAATCCACTTCTGGACATCTTCTCAACATAAGAAGGTTTGCCATAATGTCAACTCTTGGGTTGGAGACTGCAGTTGAAGAAGATCAGATTAATCAGAGAGTGTTGCTGCCTGATCTCTGTGCAGACCCTTTAGTCCGGCGGCATACGACACCCGCGGGAAGAGAAGAGGTGGTTTTTTTAAGCGGAGAAAATCATACAATTTCTCCCGCCTGGGTGAGGCGAGACAGAATGTCAGACTCTTACTGACTAAAACCCACCCCGTTCCTATTCCTGCACTTCGAGCCGTAGCCCCGGCGACCTGTTTCTCCGCGGCTCCGTATCGGCATCAGCCCTACTGGGCCTCATCTGTGGTAGTCTGATGGCTCTTTGAGGTGCGCGCGGAACGCGACGGTCGGACGCTCAGGTCTGAATCTGATCGGGCGGCGATCTACCCATGCTCGTCATCCGCAGGCCCGTGCTTACGGTGGCCGGAGTGTCCTTCGCGACGGCTGGGTTGTGAGGAGGTCGTGGACGCTCTGCCTCACGCGCCCCGCATTCTTCTAAGCAAGTATAACTGCCTCGCAAAAGGAGGAGACGGCATCGCAGTCCTCCTCGCTCCGCATCATGCCAAGAGAATGTGGTAGTGACATACAGGTTAAAAACCATTTTGACAACAGTGTGTGCTTAGCTTAAAATCAAATTTTATTAGAGTGCGAATCATAGGCATATGTAGGTATATATTATTGTATATATATTTTGGATAGCAAGAACCTGTTCATTAATTAATTCAATGTTTAAAAGACCTTGTTTTTTTTTTTGCGCCAAACCCGGCACAACCTCCCAAAACCGCTGCAACTCCTGTAAGTCAGGATCTACAGTAGATACAACCATGCAAACACCGGAACACTGAAGTCCAACGTCCCAGGGACATGAACAACTGTCTTGGTTCCCGCAACGAAATAAATCAGATGATATTATAAAAGAAGAACAAAAACGATAGTTTCCACTTCCCTCGGTGAATTACTGTAGGAGACAGAATGAATTAAGCCTAAAGGCACAAAAGAGACTGTACAACTGAAGCCCAGTCACCAATCACCACGGAAATTTGACTACAAACTAAATGGGTCCGTCGTCCTATGTGTGGGATGTTATACTTATTTATCAAAGTTAAACTGTCAAACACCGCGAGGACACCGGTGACCGCAACCTATTGTTCTATAATCATGTCTATAATGACGGTACTCAACGACTTAATATTAGATGTGTTGTCCTCTAAATGGGAAGCAGAGGTATTTTTATAGAGGATGTAAAATCATTCGATGACTTCTCTTCTCCCTTCTTGTGTGAGGCGGAAAGTATCATGCGCGTTTCCACCACCGTCTCCTAAATGTTAAGGAACCCTTAAACTAAGATGGTTGTCGTGGTGGTCCTGAGGTTTAAGAGGCTTCTCACGCAGGCTCTAACTTTTTCCGAGTTACATGTACTTCACAAGATTATTTAGACACCACTGACAAACGGTGAAGGAAAACATCGTGAGGAAACCCGGGCTTATAATTTCTAATTATAAGTTTGGGATTGCCAACCCGCTTTGAGTTAGCGTGGTGGATAATGCTCAAACCGTCTCCGTGTGAGAAGAGGGCTTTGGTTAGCAGCTATGATGATGTAGTGTATCAGTGTATTTGATAACAGGACAATGTTTGTATTCTTAGAATAATCGAGAAGGTATTGCTCCGTTAGCTTCAATTAATGTATTTCTAATGCATTCATTGTTCATTATAATGTAATAAATGTAAATGTTTGTTTGTTTATTTGTCCTTGAAAAATCATAATAATTTCGATAAAGCACTTTTACACGGCAACATTAAAATATACCTGGATGTGTTCTGCCCTATTCCTAACTATTTAAAACACCGTAACTTAGGTAAGAAGTAATTGGTATTTTCCCGTTTCCTGACGTCAGATCGATCTGATATTTGGTACACACTCTTAATCTTGATGACCATACAATATAATCTAATTGTTTCCACAACTACCGTCACTATGGATATCAAACGTAAAGGCTTGATGGTAAAATAGAGCTCATTAAAACAGTTTAACATAAAGAATATTTTCTATGTATAGGTATATGTATCAGAGCAGTGTAAAACAGACTTTTTTTAAAAGAGTAACGAATGGAGTTTCTTGCTCGTCCTTCTCCACTCGAATCAACATTTTGGAACGAGCGCCTAGCTTCACTGACGGACAGACTGACAGACTATTATTTATTTCATATTTGTTGACGTTTCAAAAGTACCAAATTATGGTTTAATTGAGATAAATGCTTTTGAGTTTGAGTTTATATCTAGTTTTGTTCTGCGAACGAAGCCGCGTGTGTTAACTAGTATACAATTAAATCAAAGTATGTTAATTAGAAGCATCACGCTACTGTCAGTCGTACGTCACCCAGGGTCACGGGTTCATTACTTGATTTATGCAAAACTGTTTCACGTAGGTACGTTGTTAACGGCGTCCGTCAAGCATGTCAATTACATAGACTATTTATTTATTTATTTAAAGAAAATAATAAACTATTATTTGCTTTATAAATTATCTAATTATAAGTTTGAAATCGCAACCCGCATTGAACAAGCGTGGTGTTTAAACCATCGACGTATTTTTTTTAACGGAGGAAACTAATCGAATGACTGCTCCCACCTGGGTGAGGCGGGAGGAAGTGTCAGACTCTTACTGACTAAAAACCACCCCATTCCTACTTCTGCACTTCGATCCGGAGCCTCGGTAACCGCGATAGTTTTCCGTGGCTCCGTACCGGCATCAGCCATATTGGGCCCCATCCGTGGTGGTCTGATGCCTTAGTACGGGTTTGTTTCACGTTTAAAGTATTCGAAACGAGTACGCGTTCGGCGCTCTGATTGGCCGGTGGCAAGCAACCAATGGCTCTTTGAGACGCACGCGGAACGCGACGCGCCGTAGGCTCGGGAACCTTCGCCGCCTTTGGTAAGCAATGGGCACTTATAGGCTGTTGATGATGAATGATTGTATCTACTAGATCCTGGCTTATTTTACTTGCAGCGGCTTTGAGAATTTGTGGCGCCTGTGGCGGACTTATCCGAATAAATAATATAACACTACCCCTAACTTTATCCTCGAAGAGATTATTTTTTCACTGTCCCGCGACACTCAACGCCCTGAGTGTCCTTTGCGATGGCTGGGCTGTGAGGAGGTAGCGCTTCGCTGCCTCACGCGCCCCGTCTCCTCCTTAGCTAGCATGACTGCTTCGCAAAAGGAGGAGACGGCATCCCAGTCCTATCCCCGAAGGGGTAAGCAGAGGTGCACATTACGGCACTTAATGCCACTGTACAATGTAACACTCAGTTTTCACTATATGTGTTATGAGGTGAGCCTATTGCCATATACCGGACACAATTCCAGGCTCCGTGCTACTACTGAGATTTTTTTTAAAACCCAGTAAAACCGTGCCCGACCCAGGAATCTAACCCCTTGCCGTCGCAGTTGCAACCACTCGGCTAACGAGGCAATCAAAAGAATGATTATAGGTAGATAATCCAAGCTTGGATTAGAGATTGCAGTTCAAAAGGTTCAGGTTTATCAGAGAGCGCTGCTGTACGGTCTCTGTCAAATGCGCGACGAATTAATTACAGTTCATTTTATAGATAAGATCACGTTTTGACTAAGAATATATCACATGTTACGGTAAAATAAAATCATTTCTAGCACGTGATACGTGATCTCTATTTGGCGTGGAACACGGGGGACTGGCGACCTGATAAAGGTCGCTGATTACAGGTCGGTTCCGACCGATGTGGAAGTCATTGGGGGACTGTGTGTCCTGGCGTAATTATACCCTTCGGGCTGGGCTTATAATTTCTAATTATAAGTTTGTAACCGCTAACCCGCATTGAGCAAGCGTGCTGAATAATTTTCAAACTTTCTCGGTGTGAGAATTAGTACTGGAAGAAAGAAAGACGTAAAGGAGATTCATAGTCTAGCAATGAACTACGATTATGCAGTTGTACGCCAAAAACAAACCCAGACTCTGTGCTACGGAGAACCTAACAGGTTACCGGGGCTCCGGCTCGACGTGCAGGAGTAGGAACGGGGTGGTTTTTAGTCAGTAAGAGTCTGACACTCCCTCCGCCTCACCCAGGCGGGAGCAGGCATTCGATGATTTTCCCCCCTTAAGAAAAAAGACTGTGCTAAGAATTTATTACGAATATAAACATTTTTTCTCAAATCAACCAAATGCCAACATTCGAATTCGAGGTCCACACGTAAGAAACGCAAAATTATATAATTTGCATTCATTTAATATTCAATGTCAATGTTTTGAACTGTGCTGGCAGATTGTGTAACACGTAGCATTCTTTAATATTCTAGCTTTTGATAGCGTTTTCGCCCAGTTCCGTAGGATAAAGGGCTCGTACACCATTCTGTTATTGTTATTATGTTCTGTTATGTTATGTTATTCTGTTATTATGTTATTCAAAATTCTGTTATTATCACATA